CGTCAAGCCTCCATATATACTTACTACACACGCAAGCCCGGGGCGGCAGGGGCAAGGTGGACTAGAGGTGGATGGGAGACGGAGATTGTCGAGTGAAGGAGGTGGGCAGAAGCGAGGGTGGGCGACAAAGAGGGGGAGAGGGTAATGAGGAGAGTGGAGAGCGGGCGACGGGGAGCGCAGGTGGGTGGGCAATGAAGGAGTGGGTGACGAGGTGGATGGTCTGAGGATGACGTGATGACGAGGTGGGGTGGATGACGAAGTGCGTCTGACGTATGTGAATGTGTGGCTCTCAAGCTGGCTGGCAGCGCAATGTGCCGATGCGGAGGAACCAGCGCCGTGGCCCTGACGATGGGACGAAGGTCACATACCGGCGCTCGCAGTGTAAGGCAGCTGGGGCCCCCCCCCCCCCACTCTCCCAGCGAACTCTCACCCCTAACCCCAATGTCGTCACAACCTCCCCTGCCTAACAATTGCTTGCACTTCTAATCAAACGCTGTCTGTTGGCTACTCTTGCTTTCCTCTTCTCTTGCAGCTACAGCTTCTCAAGCCGCTGATTATATATCAATTAATTACTGGTGATTGTTCTCAATTATTATCGATTTTTTTATTGGACCGATTATTAATATTGATCACTCATTGTTAATCAATGGTTTGTTTTTGTTCATTGTTTTTGGAGATGATTTATCGCATATATATTCCTGATTATTGATCGCGGGGTGAACGTCGTGGATATGTCTCAATCGTTATGGAGGCCAATCTGCCCCTGGGATGGCAGGAGAGACTCCATGCAATTGGACCTGGTGTGTTGTCATTGTGGTTGTTATGAACTCCGTTGTTGAGGCCCTGTCCCCCTCTCCATTGCCTCCTTGGTGTGCGCTGCAGCTGTCGGGAATCTCCTGGATGGGTTCAGCCAGAAGGGTCTGAACGACGGGGCCCTTTCATCAGGCTCCGAGGGCCGCTCGGGCGGGAGTGGCCGCTCCGTGGAGGCTTCGTCCCACTTCTCCTACTCCACCGTGTCCCTCAACACCGTGGCCGGTGGTAGCAGCGGCGGCACCTCGCACCGCTCCACCGGCATCCGGGACATACTCCCGCCCGCGGAGGAGGCCGAAGAAGAGGCCGTGGGTTGCGACCGTGCGGGGGAGGCCCAGGGCGTCCGGATCAGACCGCGGCGACCGCACGGCATTGCGTGGGTCGGCGAGCAGGAGGACCCCGACTTCCTGCACTTCATCGAAGGCAGGTGGCCCCTTAACCACCTCACAGGTGTCGGTACCGTCATGGCCATTGGAATGTTCTTCGCATATTACCTCTGTGATGTGGTTGACGTGGTGATGTTTCTAACCACACAGACCTGCGCATATCGTTGGGCGACCAGCCTCCCAGTGATACATCGGAGACGTCCAACCGCACCTCGACTACCTCGGCCACCTCCGGTACCAAACCACACTCGCACGCACTCGCCTACACTCGCACGCACTCGCCCACACTCGCCCACACTCGCCCACTCTCGCACGCACTCGCCCACACTCGCACGCACTCGCCCATACTGACGATGTGTCGGTGTGTGGTGGTGTGTCTGTGTGACGTGTCTCCGTAATGTGTCTCCTGTGTGTTGTTGTGCCTGCAGTGTCCCGTCCTGACAGCGTGGAGCGAGAGGGCAGCCGAGGGAGCAACGTCAACAACAACGCATCGCTGTGGCCCTCGCCGCACGGTGCGAGGCCAATCTCCCGCCGGGGAAAACGGGGGTCACGGGAGTCGCAGGGGTCGCAAGGGTCGCAAGGGAATCCGGGATCACAGGGGAACCAGGGGCTACCAGAGGAACAGGGCTCAGAGTGGGAGCAGCATGAGCAGAGGGAGCATGAGGAGCAAGGAGAGCAGGAGAAAGGCTTACCGGTAGCACAGGAGGAGCAGGAGAAGCAGAGGGAGCAAGGGAAGCAGGGGCCAGAAAAGGAGCAGGGGGAGCTGGGTGCAGGCACTGAGCAATTCGGGTCAGTGCAGCACAGCCACTGAGTGTGTGAATAGTGCATTATGGGGGCTGCGTCGGCAGGTGGGGCGACCGTGGGGACAGGGTGGAAGTGACGGGGGTGGGGCGTGGGCCAGTGTCAAGTGTTAGCGAACAGTGCTGCACGAACGTCTCAAGTGTGGCCGGCCCGCTTGCACGTGTGTGCGTGTGCGCGGATGAGGCCCCACATGATCCCACATACTCATGTGGGGCTTCAGATCTTGCGGGAGCTATGCTGCTGCGTGCTGCTGTGCCAGGCCACGCGGCTCGGGGGCGGCCTGCGTCGCGCGAATCCCCGCGACTCTCTCCCCCCAGTGGCCTCGGGCAGCGCCTCCAGGGGCACGGCCGGTCCGGGTGGCCCCGGAGGCGGCCACCAAGAGGTGGCGGGGGACGCTCACCACGGCGCCCCTCCCGTGTCGGGTCCCGATCCCCGGTCGGGGCGACAAGAAGCGTGCGGGGGCGCAGCTGCGCAGGGACCGCCGGAGGCCCCGGGGGGCCCGGGCTGGTGGCTGCCGGCACTGGGAGAGAAGGCAAGGTGTGGCCGCTCCCCGGGGAACAAGCGACGCTCTCTGCACGAGTTTCTGCTCGAGCGGAGGCCGTCGCCCCCCGTGCCGCAGGTAAGAGCGCCCGTCGCTTGCCAGGCCGCCGGTGGCCGCTCGATGATTTGCGACTCGCGTTTCACTTTCATCAACGCGCACCTGGACGGCGCCTGTGACCGCGCGATTGCGGCGAGAGTTCAGCGAGTCTGCGCTGTGTGTCAGAGCGAACGTGGCGCCGCCAGGGATGGGCACGAGGAGCGGCGGGGATCGCCGCCCCTGAGCCCCGGGCGCGGCGAGAGGCCGCACTCGGCGAGGGCGCCGCTGCGGGTGCGGCTGGCGCTTTTCAAGACGTGGAGCCTGGATGGCGCCGACAGGAGGCACCAGCCAGCCGGCGCCACGCCGCCGGCTTCTCCGCCTCGCTCCCCGCGGACGCCGGCGTCCACGGCGGCTCAGCTGCTGGTGGCGCGGGAGCTCCCGCACGGGCAGGGCCGCGCCTCTTCGGTCCCCGAGCTCCTGGAGGTGACGGCGCGTGCCGGCGGTGGCGGCAACGACGGCCCCCGGGAGACGGCATTCGGGTTCCTGAAGCAGCGCGCACGGGCGCGCCAACGAGAGAGGGCCGTGCCGTCCAGCACCAGCAGCTCGGACTCTCCGCCACCCTGACCCAGATTGTTCCGTGAGCTCGTCACGCCCGAGCCCAGGCGATGGCAGCGATCCAGCCGGGTGATTCCTGGACTTGAGCAGACACTGCCCACCCCCACTGCCAACCCAGCATCTCCCCATGTGCACCGCGGTCGCGTTTCGGCACATTCTGAATCAACGTCGCACATTCCATTCGATGGACTTGATGACGCTTGCCGATTTTGCACCCACCAACCCCGTTCTGTTGAAGGAGGCAAAGGCTCTCGCGCGGGGTGGCCGTCACGCCTCTCCCTTGAATCATTAAGATTCTCATTGAACCGCTACTTTGATCAAATCTGGAGATATCTTGAAGCCAAGAGGCCCGCTCCGCTGGCCTCATCTTTACTCGGCATTGCTATCTCGTGGCTAAACACTCTAGATTTAGATTTATTATCGTTACTATTCATACACAGCCATACACAAAAAAGAAGAATATAAGTGCCACTCCTGTCGATCGTCGCCCGAGCTCATTTCCTGCTGGTACCAGCGGGGAACCTGCACGGACTCGTAGCGCCGTCTTTGCCAACGGCGCACGGTGGCGCTAGGCTGCGCCGCCTTGGTGGTGTCTGGCGGTTGTGTCTGCGCCGCGGTGAAAGGAAAATCGGACGGTGGACTCCATGCGGGCTCGTAACCGCGTGGTGCCACACCGTGCGCCAAATAAGTCGGAGCCACACGCCGCCATCATTTCACTTGGCGCACACGCGAGGGCACAGGGCACATTCCATTGCTCATGCGCTGTCGTGTTCAATTAGTATTAAGGCAATGCTTTGGTAGTGAACTGCAATATGTATTTTTTTTACGGTTTCATTAATATGTAAGAGTTTTATCATTTCTCTTCACGTCAAATTTTCAGTTTTTACCTAAAAAAAGTTACGATTATTTTTTTTTTCCCCGTCCAATGTTTGTCAAGAAACATAGGTTTAGAATATTATTTTTTTGGGTCAAATTACTGATTATTATTCAGTATATACTTAAATTACAACATACACGGGGGGGGGGAGTTGGCCACATTTTAATTGAAAACATTGTTTTTGTGGAAATGTTTATTAAAATGTATCGATTGTATTGTTTGACCCGCCTCGTCAGCACTCGCGTTGAAACACGTTCAGCTTTTATAAACAAATGACAGATCGTCGGATATCCAGTACGGTCGTGACTTTGCACGTCAAAAATATGGGCTGCAATTGGGACTCGGAGGAAATTCACGCAGTCATCCAAGCACTCGCAGAGGCATAATAACCCCTCCCCCCCCCAAAGACAATATAAACTATTAACAGAAATAGAACAGCTAAACTGAGTTTGCAAATGAAGGAAGGAAGAAAACACGTATCACGGATTGGCAAAGTTATCGACAGCGAGAGAAAAAGTTTACTTAAAATTGGGTTAAAACATTCTGTTTAGTGAAGCGAGTGATGACGATGTGATGAGAGTTTGGGGGTGGTCCTCATCTCGAGTGGTGAACCTCTTCCAGGACGTGTGTCCAGTGTGGAAGAGCAGACCAAGGGTGGTGGACCACTTGCCCCTCTGTAGAGGGCCGGCAGTGGCGTGAACACTTGCAGTGCTGCACATTTAGCCAATCCATTCAAATTGCCATCGTTATTCCCACGTGTGGACCCTTCTGCTCGGGTTACCTCATGTAATCTTCTTGGTTCTTTCGGTAAAGTCACGTAGAAGGGAAATAATAAAATAATAAAAATAAAACAATAACATAATTTTATTATGTTTTCTTTTTTTAACATAATAAAATATATGTATTGTTTTATTTTTATTATTTTATTATCTCCCTTCTACGTGACTTTACCGAAAGAACCAAGAAGATGAATCCCTGCAGTCACGAAAGCTTTAAATCGAAATTTACCTCACGTAAGTTAACATAAAAAAATACACGTGAATAATACCTATGTGTATGGGCCCAAATAAAGCTACAATTAGCTAGTTCAAATGTTATGAAGACGGTCACTTACAACTGAATACATTACCAAAAGTAAAAATCAACAATCACATCTTAACCGCAAAACCCCACAACACCGCACCTCAAAAACCAACAACCTGACTACCCAAGCAACAAAACGACACAAAGATAACAAAACAATAAACAATAAAATCACAACCAAACCTCATCCCGCAGGCTCCAGCGTAGCGAGTAGGCCAGTGGAGCCTGCAGCCGGGAGGAGGAAGATGGAACGCGAACATCCTCACAGATCATCATCATCATCACAGGCATCACTACGATCATCACACTTGATCGTGACATTAATCTTCAAGCCAATAACATCGTCACAATCATCATCAGCCTTGCCTCCACCATGACTGATTCTCGTCACTTGTTCATGAGCACACGGTAAAAAGCTCAACCCAATCGGCACGAAGCCTCATCAACATCATCACAAACACTCATCATTAACGCACTCAATCATCACATTCATAATCATTCTCATCATCATCACTGACCACTCGAGTCGTTATTAGATTCACAGAAATGTTTATGGATCACGGCATTACGTCACCCTCACATAAAAGATACAAAAGTCACAACCACCAGGCTGAGTGTTCATTGTTCACCCTCATATGGACGAGATAGTCATTGTTGTCAGTGGTGGTGGTGGTGGTGCTGGCCCACTGAAAATGAGACTCGTTCTTGCCTCTTGAGAATCACCTGGTTAAACCAAATAAACTTTAAACTATCCACACCCCCTCTATGTAATCCCCACTGACTGCCCTCCATCCCCACTGACTGCCCTCCATCCCCACCACCCAGAAGCCATCACGGCCGTGTACGTGGAACAGCCTCAGTCGGCAACGGAGTTCCAGCACGGGTCAAACAAACGTCGCAATTTTTTCACTCCTCACATTTGTGCCGCAAAAATGTCTTCTACATTTTTACACACAGACACTGTCGTTATCGGGACTACGACAAGCCTCGTATAACATGCCTGCACTGTTTGTGTCATTCCGTTACCACGGAGACGTACAAATATATGCGAGGGACGAACTGTCCAGTGTGATCATGTGTGTGTCTCTGACCGGTGTGTATGGCTGATGATCATATGAACCTTGTGGCGGTATCCCGGGGTACCATGGTACCCCGGTTCTCGCATAATGTCCGTGATGCAGTAATTTTTAGTCTGTTGATGTTCGGCGATGCGGCAATCGACTCATCTCGACGAGCTGTACATGATGCACTACGGCGCAATCGTCCTCGCTGCGTTTAGACATCGCGGAGCAGCACCGATGTCGGATTGATTGGTACCCCAGTCGCGGAGTGAAGTACACCCCTGGAAAAATTAGTGTCCCAGAAACAAAATATTTAATTGCCTCGGCCATTTTGTACTGCTGTATTTGGTACCCCGGGGTACTGCCATAAGATAATTTATGACTGATTTGTACATGTGCGTACGTGCACATAAATTAGCATGTGCGCGCAAGATTCGTAAATCGGGCAACTAAACTCTAGTTCACCTTCAAATTTCACTCTCGTGCTATCGCTGATTTGAATGTGTCTGCAGCGCAGAGATCCGTGTCGCGCTGCGGTGACCTGAGTCACGCGGCAGCCATCCAGGTCACGTGGCAGCGGGCAGGATTTTCAGCAGGGCCTCGATCATGTCGGAGTGCGTAGGCCGGAATGGCAGTCCGTCCACCTCCATGCCCAGCGTCCCCGTGACCCCGCTGCGCACCCCGTGACGAGCGAGGATGGCGAGGAGAGCCTCCTCCTGTGAGGCATGAGACACGGACACGCGAACGTGTGGATACGTGAACACGTGGGCACATGGACACACGGACACGCGGCGTCAGGGAAACGTGACGTGTGCACGTGGCACGGACATGAGACACTGGGGTGCGATGTCCCAGAGTGGATGAGGCCCCTGTCACCTCTGCACGTGTAGGTGACGCAATGGAGGTACGCAGTGCCGGATTAAGCTAGTGCGGGGCCTGCAGCATATGTTATGAAGGGGCCCTAAAAAAAAAATATTCAAGCACAATTTTTTTACTTGCATAGTAAAGTCATTGTATTTTTTATTTTCTATACAGCCAGATAATATGACAAATCGCTAACCTTAAACACCCAGTCGTTCATAAAAGTTTAAGGCAGTATAGTACTATCGTAATAGAGCAAGTGCAGAATCACTGAACCGGCATTGATAGCTTGAAAGCATTGAGCGCAGGGCCCTTGAAAGTCCAGGGCCTGTAGCATATGTAGCTACTTTTATTACTGGGATAATCCGGCACTGGAGGTACGGACAGGGTAAGCGTAAACAGCAACAGCAACCACCAAACACCCCCACACTATTATGGAAGGGGTGGGGATGGTGGTGGCAGTGGTGGCAATGTGGGGGGAGAGAGGGAGAGAAGGGGGGGGGGTTCACCTTCTGCACGGAGGGGAGCGCTCTGCTCCACGCTTGCCTCTGCTCCAGGGAGGCCGGGGCCCCCACGGCGCGGCGCAGGTAACGCTCGTGCACGGCGCAGGTGCGCAGCAGGTACAAGGCGCACGCCACCGCATAGCCTCCCCAGTTGGACACCCCTGCATAGCCGTGGGAGGTGGGAGTCTCAGGTGAGTGAGAGTCTCAGGTGAATGTCTCAGGTGAGGGGGAGCCTCAGGTGAGTGAGAGTCACAGGTGAGTGAGAGTCTCAGGTGAGTGAGAGTCACAGGTGAGTGAGAGTCTCAGGTGAGGGTGAGCCTCAGGTGAGTGAGAGTCTCAGGTGAGTGAGAGTCACAGGTGAGTGAGAGTCAGGTGAAATTTCGATTTAAAGCTTTCGTGACTGCAGGGATTCATCTTCTTGGTTCTTTCGGTAAACTCACGTAGAATGGAAATAATAAAATAAATAAAATAAAAGTATTATGTTTTATTTTTATTATTTTTTTTTCCATTTTACGTGACTTTACCGAAAGAACCAAGAAGAAGTTTCAGGTGAGTGAGAGTCTCAGATGAGGGTGAGCCTCAGGTGAGTGAGAGTCTCAGGTGAGTGAGAGTGTCTCAGGGCATCAGCACTCATCCCTACCCCTATACCTATGTCAACCATTACCAGCACCATTAACTTTATCCCTAGACTACCCCTACAAGTTATTCTTTGGTTTTTTCGGTAAAGTCACGTATAAAAATAAAATAATAAATTAAATAATAGCATACGACGTTTCGATTGCAACACAAGCAATCATCATCAGGTATAATGAAATAGCGACATAGAATATAACCAGAAAACTATAGACAGACATATAAGCAGACAGATATCACCAAGATACATAGAGAGAGCAACCCAGGTACAGAGAGAGGTGATCGTCTCTGTGGGGTGGCCTTAAATAGACAGAGGGGGGCGGAGGCAGAGAGAGGGAGGGGGTAGGGAAAACATTTACATGTCAATGAGTACGAAGGGAGGGGAGTAAGGTAAGCAGGCTTAGAGGGAGACAGAACACACTAAATCAAATAACCTAGCAAAGTATCGAAATGTTATGTAAAACGACACAGAGAGTCGGTCAACACACAATTAACGCATTGCCTGGTCGATTACGTATTTCAAAGATTGCTAAGTTAGAATTTAAGTGTGAAAATTCAAAACAAAGCATAGTTATATGGTTATATTCTATGTCGCTATTTCATTATACCTGATGATGATTGCTTGTGTTGCAATCGAAACGTCGTATGCTATTATTTAATTTATTATTTTATTTTTATACGTGACTTTACCGAAAAAACCAAAGAATAATTCCTGCAGTCACGAAAGCTCCAAAATTAAGATTGTACCCCTACAAGTATAACCTGCTTAGGTCTTTGTGGTTGTGCTGCTGCGTAAGCTCTCCCGTGTGGTTTTCGGGTTGTGCCACGCGTTGTTCGGTTGTGGGACGCATTGTTCGGTTGTGCCACGCGTTGTTCGGTTGACCCACGCGTTGTTCGGTTGTGCCACGCATTGAGCCACGCGTTGACCCATGCGTTGTGTCACGCGTTGTGCCACGCGTTGTTCGGCACAATGTCCGACATTTACAACCACGTACCAGGAGCTTCCTTCAGCTTCACTCCATCACGTGAAGGTAGCTTCTTGAGCATGCGCACCAAAACGTCGGACATCACGCAGTGCAACTCAAAAAACACATCGGAGAGCTATCCCCCCCCCCCCCCCAGTTACCACCCCGTCAGCCTGCAACTCACCCCCGCCCTCCAAGCCCCGCTCCTCACCCGTGGTGATGGTGAAGTCCGCGGGCACCGCGCAGGCGATGACGTCGCCGTTCTTGATGTGAGCGCGCACCGCCTCGCTCACCCTGCCCATGCCTAGCTCATTACCCCCATCCCCAATACCTGCCGGGGCAGGGGGTGGAGAGGGGAGATCGGGAGTGGCGGGGGGGGGTAAGAACGCGACAGTGATTGAGTCGCATACCGTGTAGAATCTTACAACTCAAGAGTTGATTATTTACAAAGTGTACAGGTGACTGCGGAAATTATAGACGAGGGAAAATACCAAAAAATAAAATCTGCGTACTCGTGGCTACACCACGAGAAGGGGAGTGGAGTGAAGGAAGCAGTGAATGGGAAAAAAGAAAGGAACGAGGAACGGGAAAGGGAACGGATATGAGAATAGGTTTTACCCTTTATGGCAATAAAACAGGTGTTAAGATATTTTAACATCTTAACACCTGTTTTATTGATACTGTCAAGGGAGGTCCCATGATACAGGGAAGGGATGTTGGAACGGATATCCCCACCAAGGCAGACAATGAGCGCACGGTCAGGATGAGCAGCCGGGTGAAAGGAGCACTGAGCAGGAAGGGAAGGAGGAGGGGGAGATGGAAGAACCCGGTCAAGACGTTAAGGATGAGAGGGTGATGATGACGATGACGAGAGCGGAGAGAAAAGAGAGACGGGAAGAGCGGAAGGGATCTGCACAGAGGAGCAGCATCTTGTTTTTACAGTGGGCGGTGAGGAGAGGGGATGGATTTACGGCGTGCTTGGTCTGATTTAGAAATGTAAATATTGCATTGAATCGTGACCTCGAATCGTAACAATTCAAAGCCAAAGGAGGGAACACGCTGGAGGGCACGACCTTTGCGGAGATGGAGTGATGAAATCGACTCGCGTGCCGGAGAGACACGGCCAGGTCTTTATTCATCAGTTCATCGATTATGAGCGATGGTAATGATGATGACGACGACGAGCGTGGCTCACCTGAGCCCCCCCCGAACCGAATCTGATTGGTGGCTGCAGCGTTTTTCACTGCAGCCCACGCCGGCGTTAACGCGCTCCCCGCGGAGTCGGGGAACCGACTCCCGGCCCCGCCGCGTGGCCACTCGCCTGTGGTGGAGACCCCGCGCGTGTCCCGCGCCAGCCAAAACAGCTCATCCAGAGGGTCGACCAGGTGCCCGATGTTGATCTTGCGCGCGTTGTAGTAGCACCCGTCGGCCGCCGCGCCCGCGCGCTCGATGGCCACCAGGTGATCATAGCTGCACGGGGCCGAACACCAGGTGCCCGGCGTGACATACAGAGCCGCGTGCTGGATGCTGCTGTACCATGTGCTGTGTGATGTGGCCTGTGTCCCATGTTTTCCTGTCCGGTGCGCTTGCCGTTACCTGTATTATGGGTGCTGCTGTCCCCTGTGCTGGGTGATGTGGCCCGTGTCCCCTGTGCTGCTGTCCTGGGTGCTGTGTGAAGCACGCTGTGGCCTGTGTGCTGAGTCCTGCTGCCCTGGGTGCTGTGTGAAGTGTACTGTGGCCCGTGTTCCCTGTACTGCTGCCCTGGGTGCTGTGTGAGGCGCGCTGTGGCCTGTGTGCTGAGTCCTGCTGTCAGTGGTGCTGGTACCGAGGTGTGGGACCCTCCGGGCCATCCTCCAGCAGGAAAGCTCGCGCCGCGTCCTGGCCACGTCCCTCCATCGTCACGACCGGGACCTCCTCATCCAAGACCCCTGGGACAAAGACCACAGGGGAAAAACACCTCCCAACAGGTCACACAGACAAGCAGACAGGCAGATGGATAAACAGAGCGACGGGTGTATGGGCACACATGAGACAAAGAGACACAGACAAGTGTAGAGGAAAACATATGGACAGACATACAAACACATGTACAGACAGACACAGAGCGACGGATATTGAGATGAGCAGAGGGGCAGGCAGACACACACAGACGCGGGCAGAGAGACAGGCAGACTCACAAACATGTGCAAAAATTGGAAAATAGACAGACACATATACAGATAAATGTGCACGAGACATGCACGGAGAGAGACAGGCAGATACACAGACTGAGAGGCAGGCAGACACACAGACTTGGGCAGAGAGACAGGAAGACAGAGACGGACAAACAGACAGACACAGAGAGACGGATACCGAGAGGCAGGTGGACACACGGACACACAGAGACAGGAGACATGTAGTCATCGGACCTTCTCGCAGCGCGTCCGTCACGATGTCACGCATGAGCCCGGCGGCGCGCGCATCCGTGGCCAGGGCCACGCGCTTGCCCAGAGCCCGCAGCGCGGCGGCCATGGCGAGAGCCCCTGGGGGGCCGTCCGTCTCCTCGGGGGGCTGCTGGGTCACGTGGGTGGGGAAGCCGGTGATCAGCAGTACGGAGCGCGAGTGCGACAGGGAGAGCGCCGCGTGCAGCAGCTCCCCTGGCACGTGCAGGTGCTTGATTCCCCGGGAACCTGCTCATAGGGGGGCACACGGGGAAGGGGGGAGGGAGGCACAGCGCTCACAGGGGCATGTGGAGCCACGCGGGTACGGGGGGACATGTGGGGTGCACAGAACAGAGGGCGCGCTCGCAGGCCAAGTCCTGTGCGGCATGTCTTTTTTGTTGTATCCGCAATTGTACTCCATTTGTGCCCTCGGCGTCACGTCGTGGGGTGAAGTGTCGATTCGGATCGCCGATGAACCACGGACAAGCTGGAAGGCAGCAGCCAAGCGGTGAGTCGGCGCTACCAGCAAAGCTCTACAGTCCTTTACATGTAAAGTTTTGTTTCAGCCAATGAATGAGTTGTTTATACGTAACATCTTATCCATACTAAGAGGCACATTTTCCAATATAAACGTTATCTGAATGCTAGCCGAGTTTTTTTTAAATATATTTAATTCTCGAAGCTATCATTTATCCAAATTAAGCCAATGAAACTCTACTCAATTATTCTATTGTTCAGGCTTGAGAATATCGGTTAACTAGACGGGCAAGCTGGTCCCCGCATTCGAACCCCGCGGCCCAGCCGTGGCGACCTCGATGTTCTGACGCCAGAGCCATTTCCCGCGGTGGGCGAAGGGGGAGGTGGGGCAGCACGTTGTTACGAGCGACGCGCGACCGAGGAGCGAACCCATACCCACCCGGGTCGAGCTGCACGTGCCGCTCCAGCGCGTGCACGGCGCTCGCCGCCCCGGCGGACACGAGGCTGTAGAGGAGGGGGTCCCGCGACACGCACACCACCTCGGGGGCCCCGGCCTCCCCCTCCTCTCCCTGCTCGGGCACTGGCTCCGCGCTCTGCCCCTTCACGTCCGTCACGAACATGCAGCCCGGGGCGTGCGTGAACGCCAGGGACAGGTCTGCAAACACGGACAGGCGACGGGGCTGTGTGTGCCGGTTCAAGTTCGTTTTGTCTAACCAGGTGAGGTCTCGACTCGAAACTGGGAGGAGTGTCATTTGCAAGTGAGACCTGTGGCACGAGTCTATGTACGCACGTTGAACTTCTTTCGCACCGTAGGTAGCCAACCGTACTAGTCGGAGGTGGGTACGTAGCCAACCGCGCTAATCGGAGCAGTAAGAGACGGTGATTTGTGGTGAAATTTTCTAATTGTGGACATTTGGGCGCTGGCACACAATGGCCTACTCATTTGGAATGTACAGGGGATATTTAACGTCCACTGGGTGAAGCAGACGGCGTGTAGACGTGTTATAGAGGTAATAACCAGGGCAGACACTGGATTCAAATGGTGAATCTCTACAACAAACAGCAAATGCGTTACAGCTGAGCAATGCTGCCGCCCAGGAGCCAGGTGAGGGGTGTGCAGGTGAGCGGTGTGCAGGTGAGGGTTGTGCAGGTGAGGGTTGTGCAGGCAAGGGGTGTGCAGGTGAGGGTTGTGCAGGAAAGGGGTGTGCAGGTGAGGGTTGTGCAGGCAAGGGGTGTGCAGGTGAGGGTTGTGCAGGTGAGGGTTGTGCAGGTGAGGGGTGTGCAGGTGAGGGGTGTGCAGGTGAGGGTTATGCAGGAAAGGGGTGTGCAGGTGAGGGTTGTGCAGGCAAGGGGTGTGCAGGTGAGGGTTGTGCAGGTGAGGGTTGTGCAGGCAAGGGGTGTGCAGGTGAGGGGTGTGCAGGTGAGGGGTGTGCAGGCAAGGGGTGTGCAGGTGAGGGGTGTGCAGGCAAGGGGTGTGCAGGTGAGGGGTGTGCAGGCAAGGGGTGTGCAGGTGAGGGTTGTGCAGGAAAGGGGTGTGCAGGTGAGGGTTGTGCAGGCAAGGAGTGTGCAGGTGAGGGTTGTGCAGGTGAGGGTTGTGCAGGCAAGGGGTGTGCAGGTGAGGTGAGTGCAGGTGAGGGGTGTACAAGTGAGGCGAGGGTGTACAGGGTGCTTAACAAAAATGTTAACACTTCTGAGAATTTGCAACAATACTAAAAGAAATGTGCCTCCAGGCTCTGGAAACCACCTGGAGAAGATTCCAGGCACGCGTTGACAACGATGGCGAATAAGTGGAGACTCTTTGACTTTTTGAAGTTATTCACATACATGTGTTATCATGTTACAGTGTATTATCCGTTCTTTTTCCATTAAAAACGATAGTCCCATATAAGTGTTAACATTTTTTTAAAGCACCCTGTATAGGCAAGGGGTCCCGTCTGTACAATAAACGGCAGGGCCAGGCGAAAGCAAACTAAGATGACCCCCAGTAGCCCAAGGTGTCTGCAAAACCAGTGTGGGCGTGTGTGTATGTGTCTGTGTGTGTCTGTGTGTCTGTGTGTGTGTGTCTGTGTGTGTCTGTGTGTGTGTGTCTGTGTGTGTGTGTGTCTGTGTGTGTCTGTGTGTGTGTGTCTGTGTGTGTGTGTCTGTGTGTGTGTGTCTGTGTGTGTGCGTCTCTGTGTGTGTGTCTGTGTGTGTGTGTCTGTGTGTCTGTGTGTGTGTGTGTGAGGAGGTGGTTGGGGTCACTTACGAGCGCTCTGCACGGCTTCGACCCCTGTTACCCCGCACGCCCAGAACACGGGGACATCTCCGGGGTCGCTGCTCACAGAGTCCCCGAAATCCGGCACGGACAGGTCCCGGATCCCGAGCAGTCCTGGGGGGATGGGTAAGCACAAGACAAAGATCCGCCGTATAGCCTTGACAGACTGTTGGGGCAAGTGCTGTTAGTGGGCACACGAGAGAGTGGGCAGCCAGCACCACGCCCGGCCGCCTTTGTCTCCTCAGTGGCGATGTTTACACACCGCACTGGGTACTACTTTGAGGCTGAGTCGACCTAGGGGAGGCCCAGGACCGTTTTGGATAATCGTCACTAGTGTTGGCCATGAGCGGGAATCGAACTCGGGTCACCTGGTTCACCGGGTTCATAGCGCAGCGCGCTAACGGCTACTTTACCGCTATCCGTGTGTGGTTATGGGTAGCCCATAACCACACACGGGGTAACCACACACGGGTTAACTACACGAGTCTGCCCAGAGATAACCACATGCGTCTATGATTAAATCACCTGACGTGCGTCCGATCTCGGCAACCGAGTAGAGGCAATCATCATGATCAAACGGGTTGTTATGGGCTGCTGCGTGGCCATGTGGTGAGCAGCAGAGGGCAGTGCAGAATAATTCAACGTTGGTCTGTACTGTCTTGCACTATGCTCAAGTGGAGTTTACTTGTTAATAACCAGGTGAGAACACAAGAGACTAGGGTTAGGTTATCATTTGCAAGAGTGGTTTTGGGTTCTCCAAACTGACAGAAGTAAAATAGAGCACAGCAGATCAGACCCCCGTTGACCAGCGTGGCGAAGTATGGTCAAACAACCCACACGACCTACACGGCATGGGGAGATCCTCATCCGTAAATGGGTTGACAAACATGGCGTTATGTACACAAACAACGACACGCGGACATATCCAGATAACTGCAGACAAGGACACTCCACACTGGGTCCCAACAGGGTAACGAATCAAGGACAACCTTAAATTTCGATTTAAAGCTTTCGTGACTGCAGGGATTCATCTTCTTGGTTCTTTCGGTAAAGTCACGTAGAAGGGAAATAATAAAATAATAAAAATAAAACATAATAAAATAATTCTCACGACGTTTCGGCCACAACACAAGCAGCCGTCCTCAGGTGAAGACCAGGTCCTGCTTGCGTTGTGGCCGAAACGTCGTGAGAATTATTTTATTATGTTTTATTATTTTATTATTTCCCTTCTACGTGACTTTACCGAAAGAACCAAGGACAACCTCACAAGGGTAATTACACTAAAGCTAGCCCACGCACCAGTAATCACGCAGGTCTTTAATTTCACGCAGAGCTGCCCAGGGCAGAGCTCCGGAAAATATTTCACTAGAACTGAAAAAAAAAGAATCAAAAACGATCACAGTTGCCCACACCCGAGCAGCACGACTCCTCTCCGCGTCGCGTCGCTCACCGCACCTGGGTCCCCGATGTGCACGGGCGCCCCGTGCACGTCCTGGCGGGGGTGCGTGAGGCGGCACGCGGGTCCCAAGCTCGCCTCGGGCACGGGCCTCATGCTGACCACCAGGCGGCAGTCGAAGCGGCCCGCGACCTCGCACCGGGCAGACGTCTGCGGGGGGGTTCAGGGCACGGGGTTGAAACAGCGGACACCACCTCGCTGTAACATGACACACCCGGCTACATCAGGAACCAGCCGGCTATATCAGGGACCATCCTGCTGTATGAGGAGCTAACCCAGCTATATAAAGTTCAAGTTCATTTATTAGGTATAGCCCTGTGAGCCATTCGGCTCTTGAATCGGGTGCAACCGCAACAAACAAAAAACAAAAACATGAACAAGTAAACATCTTAAAGTGACTATGTGACTAAGTGCAAACAGAAAATCCACGAAAAACACAGCAAAAATTCCAGGAAAAAACACCGTACACCAACGCTGTGTTAAAAAAAAACCCTGATTGGGTGCAAGTCAAACAACAACAATCACAAGACAACTTAGATTAAGGCCATCAGTCTAACTCCGTACTACAACAAACAAACATGGCCAAACCCAAAAAACTTTTCGAAATCACTAAAATAAAGCCATAAAAGCAATGTAACAGTGATCATAGGAACTGTGACCGAATTTTCACAATAAACGACATAAACAACATGTACCACCAATCCCTGCAGCCATAGCTGGCTGCATTAGTCACTCCACAGCATTAGGAGCCAACCCAGCAATATCAGGAGCCGCGTCACTATATCACGAGTCAGGCAGCTACTTCTCCAACCCTCAGTGTCCACTCCGTCTCTCCCGCCTTTCTCCGTTTATGTGCAATGAACGAGCCATTTCCCAAAACGTCGCCTATTATATACGTTTACATTTAAGGCCACACAGTGTTGTCGACGACTTACAATGTCCCGTCATTTATTTATAATTGTGTGCATGGCTTTGAAGTCGTGCGAGGCAGAGCAGAGCCGCGAGTCTTCGCGCCGCATCTTTAAGAGGCAGTGGCTGCATCGGTTGGGTAAAAGCTGTGGCCGCCGCAGTCAGCGCACGTGTGGAGCCACGCACGGCTCAGGGTATCCACGGTGACCCCTCCGTCACGTAAACGCGCGCTGCGTTCAAGCCGCTATCGCCATCCCTGGTGAGCGCGAGAGATGATTTCTTATTCCCTTCGCCTCCACACCCCTTAAAGGGCACGCAGCAGAGATGTGACGGGGCAGGGTCGAGGGCCGTGCACTCCCCCCGTGCCCTAGACGCGCTACTCACGCTAACGCTGCGTGTGGGCGCGGGGGCGCGCAGCGAAGTGGGGGCGCGCAGGGAGGCGGATGCCCATCTCCTCCGGGCCGCCCTGCAAATGCGAGCAGGGGACGTGGCCAGGGTTCATTAACTTCACCTCGCGGCGGACGCCACAGTTAAAATGTTCCCCGTGTAGCCACGTACGGACTGTTGGGGATAGTGCTGTCAGGGAACACGTACGAAGGCCGGCACGGCACACGCAAATGATGGTGTGGCCACCATCACACTTAGCTGCCGTTATTTCGCCGAACCAGATACTCTAATGAAGGGGTGGGGAACGTCCGGCCCACGGGCCATATTAGGCCCGCAAAATCATTTTGTGTGGCCCTGCCAAGGCAACCGCAGGCGGGACTCGAAATTCAATAAATCTAGGAGCAAACCTGGAAAAGCAGTTGCGAGTAGCAACATCATCAATACCAGCTAACATCACACGCCTCGCCAAAGAAAAGCAGTTCCAGCCATCATCACATTAGGGGTGAGTTAATTAAATGTTTGACCAAATATAATAGGTGAATTTTTAAGTTGATCATTTTGTATGGCCCACGAATGATGTTATAAATATCCAAATGGCCCTTGGCAGAAAAAAGGTTCCCCACCCCTGCTCTAATGTAACGAGCCGGAATTCTTAGTCGGCGCTCCAGACATCGCGTCTCAACGATAGGCACCGCAGACAGCGCCTCTATCGATGAGATCTGAACTCCAGATAGCGATGTCGATGGAGAGTCCACGAGTTTTTTTTTTACAATAGCGGTCGAGAATACCGTACGACATCACTTGCTGGGGCTGGGGCTGAGGACACGCAGGTGGGGACACGGGAGGACGGGGGCGTGCAGTAGAGACACGGGGACACGGGGACACACGGGAGGAGACAGCACATGGGGAGGGCATGGGGCAGGTCACGCACGCGGTACATGCTGACGTTGCGGCCCTGCTGAACATTGCGCACGGGGATCCCCGCCTCCAGCAGGAGGCGCTCGAACGAGAAGCTGCAGCCGAGGTAGAAGGAGACGAGCGGGTTGGGCCCCGGGGCGGGCAGGGAGTCGGGCAGCCCGGTCAGCTGCCCGTGCTCGTAGCGACGGTAGCCCGGGCAGTCCGTGCTGCGCGTGCGAGAGGCGGGGAAGGGGGCAGGCAAATGTTCAAGGCGACGCGATGGCTTCTACTGCACGCATGTCCATTCATGGTTGATCATCGTGATGATGTTGACATTGATGCTGGTTATGACAGCGATTGTTATCTATACAAAGCGAGGGTTATTTTGCCATCCTTGACGCTGCGTGGATAACAGTGAGGATTGTTTAAAAAAAAAAGACATTAACTGTTAAGATTATGATGACGCTGCGATAATGCCCTTGCTGCCGATGATATTGATGGATTTGATAGTGCTGCTACTGATGGCGATTACGATGATGATGAGTTACCGTATGTCAGAGTGGGCAGCGAGGGGAGGTGCTGCCCACTCGTCGGGCTGGCTGCGGTAGAGCAGAGGCAGTGGGCCGGCGTTCGCGCGGCAGAATCGCTCAAACTCATCCGCCACGGACTCCTCCACCACCACCAAGTTCGCCTGCGTGAAGCCTGCAGGGCACGCGGGCACACAAGAGTCATGAGCCAGGCCAGCGCGACTCTGGTTCCCACCCTGCTTGGGCACTCGGGCAAGCACAGACTGTGCTGGAATCCAACTCGTTCTTCTGATGCAGAGACCGACGCAGTTGCTACAATGCTCGGCAAGCTCCATGCCCTGTCCTCACCCAAAACGCATGCCCGGCCATCACCAACACATACCCAGTGCTCACCCACAGATGAGCCGAATGCTCGCATTCAATCGCCGAGCAGTGCTTACCTTCAGCCATGCCGGACGTAGACCTGCCTCTGAGCTGACCGCTTCTGATTAGACGTCGCACCTCGGCCGGGTCCATGGCGCCCAGTGCCAGCGGAGACAGCTCCATGATTCTCTCACTGAGGCTGCTCTTTCTCACGGAGACTAATCTGAGAGGGGCTATGGCCTCGACACGCTAACTCTGAGGCAGTAGGGACGCGGGGCGCCTTGACAGTCACGATAACGCGGAGGGTGGACTCTGACCTGACGGGGGTTGTTAATGAGAAGCCACGATGGTCCAAGATTACAAACATCAACCCGACATCCACGCAACAGTAACCCAACATCACCAACATCAACATTCACACACTCACCCAACATCACACGGCATAGGCCAACATCACACGGCATAGGCCAACATTCACCCATTCACCCAACATCACAAGGCATAGGCCAACATTCACACACTCACCCAACATCACACGGCATCGGCCAACATTCACACATCCACCCAACATCACACGGCATAGGCCAACATTCACACATCCACCCAACATCACACGGCATAGGCCAACATTCACACATCCACCCAACAACACACGGCATAGGCCAACATTCACACACTCACCCAACATCACACGGCATAGGCCAACATTCACACATTCACCCAACATCACACGGCATAGGCCAACATTCACACACTCACCCAACATCACACGGCATAGGCCAACATTCACACACTCACCCAACATCACACGGCATAGGCCAACATTCACACACGCACCCAACATCACACGGCATAGGCCAACATTCACACATCCACCCAACATCACACGGCATAGGCCAACATTCACACATCCACCCAACATCACACGGCATAGGCCAACATTCACACATCCACCCAACATCACACGGCATAGGCCAACATTCACACACTCGTCCAACATCACACGGCATAGGCCAACATCACACGGCATAGGCCAACATTCACACACTCACCCAACATCACACGGCATCGGCCAACATTCACACATCCACCCAACATCACACGGCATAGGCCAACATTCACACACTCACCCAACATCACACGGCATAGGCCAACATTCACACACTCACCCAACATCACACGGCATAGGCCAGCATTCACACACTCGTCCAACATCACACGGCATAGGCCAACATTCACACACTCACCCAACATCACACGGCATAGGCCAGCATTCACACATCCACCCAACATCACACGGCATAGGCCAACATTCACACATCCACCCAACATCACACGGCATAGGCCAACATTCACACATCCACCCAACATCACACGGCATAGGCCAACATTCACACACTCACCCAACATCACACGGCATAGGCCAACATTCACACATTCACCCAACATCACACGGCATAGGCCAACATTCACACATTCACCCAACATCACACGGCATAGGCCAACATTCACACATCCACCCAACATCACACGGCATAGGCCAACATTCACACATTCACCCAACATCACACGGCATAGGCCAACATTCACACATCCACCCATCACACACAACGACCCAATGTGAGCCGTGCGCCCCGTTGAGGCCTCTCGTGACTGTAGGGGTCAAATCACTGACCCCTGCGTTCTCCATCTATAGCCCCCCCACATCACCCCCCCCCCTCCACATCACTCCCCACCCCCCACATCACCCCCCACATCACTCCCCCCCCCGCCGCCACACAACCCTCCTCCATCACCATTTCATACCAATTCACGACCCGTTCTGAAAAGCAAAAATAACAATTTCGTTTCTGTTTTGCAATGGAGCAAAGGTGACCGCAGCGCCCTCTCGTGGCCGCATGGGGCTACGTGAAAGCCGTTCCGTGCGGAGGATGAGGAACTGATAAAGGGCCACAGATGAGCAACCACGGGACGGGAACAGCCTCGGACAAGGCCACGGGACCACGCAGTGAGAACCACGCAGAGACAACGACAACCAAGCATAGACAACCACCCAGCCATAACCACGCAGTGACAACCACAGAGTCAAGGTGACACATTCACAAAACGCGGCGGGGCCACGTGTCCACACCAAGCACCACAACAACAACAACCACGGACGCAACAGCAGCAACCACAACAGCAGCAGCAGTCACTACAACAACAGCAGCAGTCACTATAACAGCAGCAGCCACTGACGGTGCTAGCTGGCGGCAGCAAGCGCTCATCTCCAGAGCGAGAGAGAGACAGAGAGAGACAGAGCGAGAGACAGAGAGAGACAGACAGAGAGACAGAGCGAGAGAGAGACAGAGAGAGAGATGGTTTCGGCTCTTACCGGGCGGGAGTCGTCAGGTATTGCAGGGAGCTCGCGGCCTCGTCGGATCCCTCGGCAGGAGCCGGATGCGAGGACGGCAACTCAAATCCCCAAGGCCCCTTCCGCCCCCTCTCATCCCCCACTCTGCCCCCTCTCTTCCCCACTCTGCCCCCCCTCTCATCCCCCACTATGCCCCCCTCTCATCCCCACTCTGCCCCCTCTCTTCCCCACTCTGCCCCCCCTCTTATCCCCCACTATGCCCCCCTCTTATCCCCACTCTGCCCCCCTCTCTCATCCCCACTCTGCCCCCCTCTCATCCCCACTCTGCCCCCCTCTCATCCCTCACTCTGCCCCCCTCTCATCCCCACTCTGCCCCCCTCTCACCCCCAGTCAGCCCCGCTCATCCCCACTCTGCCCCCCTCTCATCCCCCACTCTGCCCCCCTCTCATCCCCACTCTGCCCCCCTCTCATCCCCACTCTGCCCCCTCTCATCCCCATTCTGCCCCCCTCTCATCCCCATTCTGCCCCCCTCTCATCCCCCACTCTGCCCCCCTCTCATCCCCACTCTGCCCCCCTCTCAACCCCCACTCTGCCCCCCTCTCATCCCCACTCTGCCCCCCTCTCATCCCCACTCTGCCCCCCTCTCATCCCCCACTCTGCCCCCCTCTCATCCCCACTCTGCCCCCCTCTCATCCCCCACTCTGCCCCCCTCTCATCTCCCCTCTGCCCCCCTCTCATCCCCCACTCTGCCCCCCTCTCATCTCCCCTCGGCCCCCCTTTCATTCCCACTCTGCCCCCCTCACACCCCCACTCTGCCCCCCTCTCATCCCCACTCTGCCCCTCTCTCATCCCCACTCTGCCCCCCTCTCATCTCCCCTCGGCCCCCCTCTCATCCCCCACTCTGCCCCCCTCTCATCTCCCCTCTGCCCCCCTCTCATCCCCCACTCTGCCCCCCTCTCATCTCCCCTCGGCCCCCCTTTCATTCTCACTCTGCCCCCCTCTCATCCCCCACTCTGCCCCCCTCTCATCTCCCCTCTGCCCCCCTCTCATCCCCCACTCTGCCCCCCTCTCATCTCCCCTCGGCCCCCCTTTCATTCTCACTCTGCCCCCCTCTCATTCCCACTCTGCCCCCCTCTCATCCCCACTCTGCCCCTCTCTCATCCCCACTCTGCCCCCCTCTCATCTCCCCTCGGCCCCCCTCTCATCCCCCACTCTGCCCCCCTCTCATCTCCCCTCTGCCCCCCTCTCATCCCCCATTCTGCCCCCCTCTCATCTCCCCTCGGCCCCCCTCTCATCTCCCCTCGGCCCCCCTTTCATTCTCACTCTGCCCCTCTCTCATCCCCACTCTGCCCCCCTTTCATCCTCACTCTGCCCCCCTATCATCCCCATTCTGCCCCCCTCACACCCCCACTCTGCTCCCCTTTCATCCTCACTCTGCCCCCCTATCATCCCCATTCTGCCCCCCTCACACCCCCACTCTGCCCCCCTCTCAACCCCAATCTGCCCCCTCTCTCATCCCCACTCTGCCCCCTCTCTTCCCCACTCTGCCCCCCCTCTCATCCCCACTCTGCCCCCCTCTCTCATCCCCACTCTGCCCCCCTCTCATCCCCACTCTGCCCCCCTCTCATCCCTCACTCTGCCCCCCTCTCATCCCACTCTGCCCCCCTCTCACCCCCAGTCAGCCCCGCTCATCCCCACTCTGCCCCCCTCTCATCCCCCACTCTGCCCCCCTCTCATCCCCACTCTGCCCCCCTCTCATCCCCACTCTGCCCCCCTCTCATCCCCATTCTGCCCCCCTCTCATCCCCATTCTGCCCCCCTCTCATCCCCCACTCTGCCCCCCTCTCATCCCCACTCTGCCCCCCTCTCAACCCCCACTCTGCCCCCCTCTCATCCCCACTCTGCCCCCCTCTCATCCCCACTCTGCCCCCCTCTCATCCCCCACTCTGCCCCCCTCTCATCCCCACTCTGCCCCCCTCTCATCCCCCACTCTGCCCCCCTCTCATCTCCCTTCTGCCCCCCTCTCATCCCCCACTCTGCCCCCCTCTCATCTCCCCTCGGCCCCCCTTTCATTCCCACTCTGCCCCCCTCACACCCCCACTCTGCCCCCCTCTCATCCCCACTCTGCCCCTCTCTCATCCCCACTCTGCCCCCCTCTCATCTCCCCTCGGCCCCCCTCTCATCCCCCACTCTGCCCCCCTCTCAACCCCCACTCTGCCCCCCTCCCACCCCCACTCTGCCCCCCTCTCATCCCCACTCTGCCCCCCTCTCATCCCCCACTCTGCCCCCCTCTCATCCCCACTCTGCCCCCCTCTCATCCCCCACTCTGCCCCCCTCTCATCTCCCCTCTGCCCCCCTCTCATCCCCCACTCTGCCCCCCTCTCATCTCCCCTCGGCCCCCCTTTCATTCCCACTCTGCCCCCCTCACACCCCCACTCTGCCCCCCTCTCATCCCCACTCTGCCCCTCTCTCATCCCCACTCTGCCCCCCTCTCATCTCCCCTCGGCCCCCCTCTCATCCCCCACTCTGCCCCCCTCTCATCTCCCCTCTGCCCCCCTCTCATCCCCCACTCTGCCCCCCTCTCATCTCCCCTCGGCCCCCCTTTCATTCTCACTCTGCCCCCCTCTCATCCCCCACTCTGCCCCCCTCTCATCTCCCCTCTGCCCCCCTCTCATCCCCCACTCTGCCCCCCTCTCATCTCCCCTCGGCCCCCCTTTCCTTCTCACTCTGCCCCCCTCTCATTCCCACTCTGCCCCCCTCTCATCCCCACTCTGCCCCTCTCTCATCCCCACTCTGCCCCCTCTCATCTCCCCTCGGCCCCCCTCTCATCCCCCACTCTGCCCCCCTCTCATCTCCCCTCTGCCCCCCTCTCATCCCCCATTCTGCCCCCCTCTCATCTCCCCTCGGCCCCCCTCTCATCTCCCCTCGGCCCCCCTTTCATTCTCACTCTGCCCCTCTCTCATCCCCACTCTGCCCCCCTTTCATCCTCACTCTGCCCCCCTATCATCCCCATTCTGCCCCCCTCTCCCCCCCACTCTGCCCCCCTTTCATCCTCACTCTGCCCCCCTATCATCCCCATTCTGCCCCCCTCCCACCCCCACTCTGCCCCCCTCTCAACCCCAATCTGCCCCCTCTCTCATCCCCACTCTGCCCCCTCTCTTCCCCACTCTGCCCCCCCTCTCATCCCCACTCTGCCCCCCTCTCTCATCCCCACTCTGCCCCCCTCTCATCCCCACTCTGCCCCCCTCTCATCCCTCACTCTGCCCCCCTCTCATCCCCACTCTGCCCCCCTCTCACCCCCAGTCAGCCCCGCTCATCCCCACTCTGCCCCCCTCTCATCCCCCACTCTGCCCCCCTCTCATCCCCACTCTGCCCCCCTCTCATCCCCACTCTGCCCCCCTCTCATCCCCATTCTGCCCCCCTCTCATCCCCATTCTGCCCCCCTCTCATCCCCCACTCTGCCCCCCTCTCATCCCCACTCTGCCCCCCTCTCAACCCCCACTCTGCCCCCCTCTCA